TGGGTCATGGGTTTCGGGTGCTTGGGGGGTCCTCTGGGTGTCGGGGGTAATGCTGATAGGCTCGGGGAGGGGGGGGCCTTCCTCCTCTTCCTCCACCCTCCTCCGCTCTCCTCGTTGTGCTGCTCCTCATCCCCTCCTCCTCGTCCTCCTCCTCCTCCTCCTCCGCCTCTTCTTCCTCCTCCTCCTTTCCTCCTCCTCCTCCTCCTGGACTCCTCCTCCTCCTCCTCTTCCCACTGCTCCTCTCCCCCCCCTCCTCCCTCCTGCCTCCTCCCTCATCCCTCCCTCCCCCAACCTCTCCGTGACATGCACGTGCGCCAACGCTGAACGCGCGCGCAAGCAGCGTGCGCGGGCGGGGCCCAGGGGAGAACGCGCAAATCCACTGCATGCACTATCACGCACCCACCCGCCAAACTGTCCAACCAACTGCCCCCCCCCCCACGACACGACCCTCAATCGTTCTCAACCCCAAGCGGCCTGAGGCCGAGGCCGCGGCCCTGAGGCCCTCTGCCAACACTAATCTGACGAGGAGCTGTTGCTGCTGCTGCTGCTGCCGCTGGGGGAGGCTGGTGGCCATGCTGGCGCTGCTGCTGCTGGCGCTGCGCCCGGTGGTGGGCTGAGCCAGTCATCGCGTGTGATCTCTGCTGAAGGCAGGGCTGCTTCAAGCTCGTCGTCTGTCATGAGTGGCAGGTCCTCTGGCTGAACGCCGAGGTGGCTGCCCTCTATTGGGTCCGCTCTGTGCTCGCAGCGCCTCCCAGCAAGGCACCAACCCTTGAAGCGCCGCAGGACAATATCCTTGGTCTCGGCTGTGAAAACCCTTGTTTTTTTGCATTGTGTTGTTGGCGCGTCACCAGGGTCACTGTGAAAGCGGCAAGTCGCTTGCCATCGCACGCCTGCTCCTGTTCTGGTGATAATAATCCTGAAGGGCCCCCATTCCGACCCTGTTCGCGGGACTCGCTCTTGCCTGGCGCGTGGTTGTGGCTCTGCTGCTGGTGATGGTGGCGCAGGCGCTGGTGGCGGCTCTGGGGCTGCTGGAGATCGTGGCGCGGGTGATGGCGGCGGCTGTGGGGCTGGTGGCGGTGCGGGTGATGGTGGCTGTTCTGGGGCTTGCTGTTCTGGGTCTGGTGCTGCTGGGGATCGTGGTGCGGGCGGTGGCGCTGGTGGCGCGGGTGCTGGAAGGTGCCCTGGGGATGTGGATGCGGCCGGTGGGTGCGGCTCTGGGGATGGTGGCGCGGGCGCTTGTCGATGCGCTGGCGATGGCTGTGCGGCTGCCTGTGCCGGCTGCGGGCTTGGCGGCGGCACAGGGCCTGGCTGCGCGTCTCCCCCACCAGGTGGCCCATCGTCTGGGTGATTGCCATCGCCGAGGCGGTCGTCCTCTGAGCCGCCCACGTCTTGGTCTGAACCATCACACTTGCTCGCATAGCCGCGCCCTTCGTCGTCGGCCGCCCCATCCATATCATCATCTAAGAGCTTACCCAGGGCATCCCCCAGACTATCCTCCAGAGGCAGAGGTGCTGCTTTGATTTTCTTGCGCTGTGCCCCTTTAGCTTCAGCTCGGCGGCGCTTCGGTTGTCTGACGCACCCAGTGTCGTCCTCGATCGTCAATGCACCTGGAGCGTCTGTACCTTTCAACATCTTCGCATAACCCCCCGAAGTTCCAGTATGATGAACCACAACCGTGTCATCGCCAGCAGCCTTGAGCAAACATCTCAAATAAGCGTTGCACAGGGTCTTGTGTTTTCTGTTGTGGTACCAGAGCTTGGGCTCTCCACGCTTGCATGGTGGTGGTGGCGCGGTGGTCGGCAGTTGTTGGCCTCTCCAGCCCTGTGAGCGTAATTCGAGAAGGAGCTCGTACGTCGTGACATCTTTGTCTTTGATGCCCTCTCGTGGTCTGAGGGCTGGAACTGGACCATGAAACACGTCGTAAGAGCGCAAGATGCTCATGCCATACTGCGTCAGCTTGTGCCCCACTAGTTCCATACCGTGGTGATCGCAAGACTTGCTGGTAATACCTGCTACTTCCAAGAGATCCAGGACACCAGAGTCACGCGCAAACGTCGGAGACCCTGGATCTAACACTAACTCTGACTCTGAATCAACCCCGAAAGCACCACACTGCACAATATCTGTAACCAAAAGGACACCTGGATACTCGAGCTCACCAGGGAAGTTCTCAGGCCACGGCACGGGTACATACATTATCTGTCCTACTGGAGATGCGGAAGGTGAAAACTGAGGGCGAACATCGACAATTGAAAACTGAGGGCGGACATCGACCAGCGTCAACTCCAAATAGGACTGCACGGCGAAATGCCGCACACCAATACAACGCAATCCTTCCTCTCCCTCCTCCCCATCGTCCCCTTACACCGTTTTCCCCAGTCCCCTCTTATTCGTCAAGCTCCATCCACATTATCATCTCCACCCCGATCCTTCTGATCTTCCCTCATCCTCGCTCCTCTTATCACTCCTACCTCTTCCTTCCCACCTCCTCCGGCTCCCACCTCCAATCCTCCCTCATCCCCATCCGATCCGAGCCCCCACCACTGCGAGGTTGAGCACCTCAACCCCTCTCCCTCTCCCCCCCCTCTCCATCCTCCTCCACCTCCCCCCCGCTGGCTCCTGATAATCCTCCAGGCCCCACCCCTCCTCCACCGCCTCCTCCGTTCCTTTATCCTGCATGGTTGTAAGAACTCCTATAGGCAAGTTCGCGGAAACCGCTCTGACCTCTGCCTCTGACCCTGCTCAGCAGGCCCATCGGCCTTGCCTTGCGCCCCGCCCGAAACATGCCCTGGCCGCCTCGGCCCTCGGCATGCTGCCGCCGGCTGCCGAGCCTCTGCTCTGCCCGCGCCTCGCGCTCACTCCCCTGCCTCGCCATCCCCCCCTTCCCCTCCGACCCCCCCTCCCTCCTTCCATCTCCAGTCCTCCACCACTCCCTTTTCCATCCCTGCTGTTTTCCCTAGGACTCCCTCCCCTCCTCGTCCGACCCCTCCTCCCTCCCCTCGTCGTCCCTGGGCCCTGGGCCCTCCTGGAAGGAGGGGGGCCCTGAGGGTGGTGGGGGGGAGGGAACGGCATTTGCCAATCCTTGTGGTCCTGTCGGCTTCAATTCCAGAAATTGGGTCTCCAGATCAACCAATCCTTCGAAGTGCCGTCGGTTCAAAAGACACGTGCTCCCCTCGAAGACCTCGGCACCAGCATCCTCGCGCGCCCGTTCCCGTTGCACACCGCTGGTAGAAACTAAAGTAATGGTCGTGTCATTGGTATCCTTCAGGGTCAAAGTAGAATGCTTCGAAATTGCCACGTCGTCGCTGTTCAAATTACTCTGTGGCGGTGAGATCAGCTGTCGTGACTTTGGGGCCCTGTGCACTACCTTGAAGACTGTGTGTGGGTTCATGCTCCGCGCCTGCAGAAAGGCAGCGGGCCCACCAGCAGCGCCCTGGTCATCGACCAAGGCGGCGGGGAGGTCACCTGGGGCGCGAAAAGCAGGCGGTATATACTCGGAGTCCGTGAGTGGTAGTAAACTTGGCTGAGAGACGTCACGCGCCCCCGACATGGCCTCGACCAGCTTCGGGATCTCAGGCTCTGGGTAGGCGATGGAGTAATATGACGACGTGTTCACCGACTTCCTGAAGTGTTGGAGGGCATGAAGACTGAGGAGTCGCTGGGCGTGGTTGGCACCCATCGGCGCTCTGCTGGCGTCGCCGCTGGCTGCTGGGGGCGGACGAAGGGCTGGCTGAAGGGCCGCCTTCTTGCCATGCTGAGTCCGTGGGTCCAACCTGTAGAGAACCTTGCTGACGGTGGATCTTCTGCAGGCCCCGCGCTGGCCAACCTCGTCCATGATAGTAGGGTGGCTCTTGAGATCGAAAGCGCCCGCCAGCTTCGGCGCGCTCGTCCGTAAGTGGTCCATGTGATGAAGGATCCTGTTCCAGAGCTCTGGGTCTAACTTGAGCTGGCGGCGCAGGTCGGGCAGCTTCAAGTGCAAGTTGACGAAGGCCCCCCCCGCGTTGGGGGCTTTGCAAGCGTTGAGCTTGCTCGCTCTGTGTTTTGACTCAATCGAGCGCTCACACACTGGTATTGACCGCATCACGCCCGCCACCCATTTCAAGCCAGGAAGTTCATCGAGGTCTGCCTTCTCGTCTATAAAATCGATGACTTCGGTGCGCAGGCGGGATGCTGGGTGACAAACAAGCTGGACCATTGGCCACGTGTCTTCGCGCTGCTCTGCAGACAAGTGCTCCCACATTTGCAAGCACGACTTCACGCGTGCCCTTGCGGCGTCGAAGCGAGTTCCGAGAAAGTCCGTGCAGCCCATCCCGCAGAGCTTGCGCGGCAGGTGTGCCCAGTGGGCGAGCTTCGCCTCGAAGACCTCCATGATCTTCGTCCTCCCTGCTTCCCAGTCGTGCACCACAAAATTCCGCTCCTCCTGCGCGACATGCGCGGTCTTCTGAAGAAGGAGCCCCAAGCACTGCCCCGCCAAGTCCTCCAGCATCCTCTGCCCTCTCCCTGCTGCGAGCTCTGGGGCCCTGTGGCCCCTGTGAGGGCAGGTGGAATCTTTTACCCCAGTTTCCATGCTGTATTCGTGTCTCCGAGCAAAGTAAGGGCGTCCTGGGTGGAAGCCGTCCTTCTCTGAGTGGTGCCGCCCGTGGCATTCACAGCTCTCCAAGTAGTTTTGAAATTCAAAGATGCAGCCGTGCGTGAGATAAAGGATCATCTGGTTGTAGCACCAGAACGCCTTGCTCCTGATAGCCTCATCAACCAGCGCAAGCTCCTCGTGGGTGGCTGGTCCCGCCATCTCCTCAGCTGCTCTCCTTGGGGCGTTGTCGCCACTTGCCTCAGGCTGGTCGCTAACCTTTGGGCGCCAGAAATACAAGCCACCAACGCCGCGCCCCCTCCTCCTCCTCCCTCCTCCTCCTCCTCCTCCTCCTCCTCCTCCTCCTCCTCCTCCTCCTCCTCCTCCTCTTCCTCCACCTCCTCCTCCTCCTCCTCCTCCTCCTCCTCCTTTGCTAGTGCCTTGGCCCTGGGAAGGGGGAGGGGGTGAGGGGCGCGGTGGCGGTGTATATTTCTGATCCCCGTATAACCTGTCGATTAAAAGATGCCAGATCCCAGAAGCGCGTCAAACCAGTCTCGCAGAATTGCAGCTGCCGCAGGGAGGGGATGTAGCTGGCGAGTCGCCACTCTGCCGGTTTCAAGTTCATCTGCCTGATCGGTCCGTGGAAGACTTGCGCTTCCTCTCCCCGGAAGCACCGTTCAAGCACACGGTCGCGTGTCCAAGGGTCCGCCAGCATTCTGATAAGTGGTTTCGCTCTGTCCAAAAACCATTGCTTGTGAGTAAGCGCAGCCAGGGTGTCTGAGAGAGCATTGTTGCACGTGTGCAACCTGCCGCCAACTTGCAACGCGCCGTGGAAAAAACCTTTCTTGTCGGGCTCGTTGTGTAGCAGTTCTTCGTCGGAGGGGCGGGCGTCTGGTGTCGGGTGGTCGAGGTCAGCTTCGCCGTCGTCGTCGCGTGCTTCCAGGAAAGGTCGCTCCTCCTCCTCAATCTCCGCCTCCTCTGTCGGGGTCGGGGGCAGGGGCGGCGTGCTGCACGTGGGGGCCTTGCCTTCGACCATTCCGTCGTCGCTCTCCACTTGTAGATCTAGCTCCGCCGTCTCCACCATGCTGTCTGGGAGGTTCATGATTCCGTCGTCGTCGGTGGCCTCGTGGCTGTCTGGTTGTGGCGCTGGCTCTGCTGCAGGGCGGGCACATGCAAGGCCTTCGTCGTCCGTCACCATCAAGCCAAAAGTGGGCGGATCGTCGTCGAGGCCATCTGGGCTTCCCGAAATCATAGCCGTAGCAGTGTCGCCAAAGTCAGCTTGGCCGTCGTCGTCCCTTAGCTCTAAGTCCACCCAGTGCGGGAAAGCCGAGGCCAAGTCAGCGTGCCGCACTGAGGCAAGCTTTGATTCGACGCCAAGGTCGGTAGTCAGGCTCTGGATCATTTGCGAACGTCTTTCTGCTGCGGCCATTGAAGGCGAGGACAATCTAAACTGGTGGACAGCTGCATGGAGTTTGTCTAGCACGCCCGTGGACTTCGACCCCATGCCAACTGCTGCGAACATGTGGTGCTCGTATAAGCGGCTTAGTTCCTGTGTCAAGCTCCGGTAGTCGCGCGCCTTGTTCTCCTCGTCGGTGTCTGCCTCGCTGGCGCTGTCCGCGGTCACCTCTCGCAGTGATGGTTTGCACCATTCCAGTTTCCGACTGATATCGTGGGCCTTGACGACGTCATGGCAGCGATAACATTCCGTTAAAAGCCAGTCAACTCCCAAGAGGGGACTGCTATCCATCAGGCAAAATTCGGCGGAGCCCCTCGGCTGTTCGCTTCTGAACCGTTCCTGGTCAACCTTCAAAATCGCAGCGTCCACAGTAAGCAAGTAGCGGTTGACGGTAGCGGGTGATGGGACTGTCCCTGGCGTTCGAAGTTGCTGGATGATGGGTCCCGCAATTGATTCGTGAAAGGTAAATCGGATGCTGTCTTCGAGGGTTTTCAACAAGTGTCCGGCGCCTTGCAGACGCGAGGAAAGAAATACAGTCTGCAACATGCTGGCTGTTGTCGCTACCTGCTTGGCGTTCAGATTGCCTTGTCCTGGCCCAGATCGCAGGGAGTCCGCGAGCCCGCCTAGATATCGCAAATATTGCTTCACTGAATTTGCATGATCACTCTTGGAACTCTGTGGCAAAGCGGCGAAGCATTTCTCGAGCGTAGCGCATGCCGCATCCAGTTCCGATGCCTTGAGTTCACCTGGCGCCTCTGTGAGATCTGGCAGGGGCGGGCACTCGTGAGGAATACCAAAACTGTCCATGAGCTCGCTGCTGCTCAGCGCCCCTGCCGCACCTGGCCAGAGAACAATATTCTTGAACGAATGTGCAAGGATCAGTTGGTCCATGGGGATCTGAGGGCGAAACACCCACTGTGAAGGGTTGATCGTGTAGCCTGCTGCTCGCCACTGGTCCTGGATCCCCTGAGCTTCTGGTAGTACACGTAAGAACAAGGTAGAGTCCACTGCTGCAAATGGCAACCTGTTATGACCACGTATTGTACCAACCTCATACATTGGAACTGGCTGGCTGAATTCCTGCACGTCGAGGATGGGGCAAGTGGCAAGACCGCGGTGCTTGAACGACCTCAAGTAGCACCGCGCCTCTGGATTCCCAAGGTCCATGTCCGAGATCATGTGCGCAGGAGTTCCGATGAGCAGCATTGCAATAATAGATTCGTGGTCGCCTGCATCCCTGCGCGTCATGGCGTCACTGCAACCTGCGGTGGCATATCGCAATACACTACAAGTGCAACCAACAAAAATCATCAAGTGAAATGCGAATGCGAATGCGAGTGCGAATGCGAATGCTAGCAAAATCATCAAGGCAAATGCGAGTGCGAATGCGAATGCCAGCAACATCATCAAGGCAAATGCGAATGCGAATGCGAATGCCGCGTGGACATTTTGGGGTTTTGGTTCCCATCGACCGACCTGCGCCTTCAACCACATATTGGCTATCTGCGCTGCACGTGATAAACGTGTCGCGCAGGAAGGTGGCTCGGCGAACCAATCGCCGAACAAGATACACAATAGTCTTCATTCCACTGGTCCTTTGCCACTGCTGCCAGAGGGGGGGGGTGGGTGGGCCGGGGGCCGGGCGGGGGGGCCAGGGGGGGGGGCGGTCAGAGGTCAGGCTGAGGGCGATCAGAGGCTGTTGGGGCACCGAGGGCAGGGGCGGGTCGGGCCAGGACCAGGGCGGGCGCTCGGGGGGGGGGGGGGCGGGCCTCGGTGGGACGGGCGGGGGGAGAAGGGAGGGGACGGAGGGGAGAGGAGAGGCCAGAGAGAGAGGCCCCCTGGCCCCCTCCTGGCACCGGACGGTGCAGTAGTAGAAGTAGAAATCGTAGTCGTAGTCGTCGGTCGGGCCTGCGGGCCGCGGCCGCCCTGGCCGCGGCCCGCGCAGGGCGGCGGGCGGCGGCGAGGCGGAGCAGGAGGAGGAGGAGGAGGAGGAGGAGGATGAAGAAGGAGGCCAGGTGTGGGGATCAGGAACAGAAAAAGTGGATGGAACGCCGCAGGACCGAAGACTGCCTCAGGTCCTGCGGCGTTCCATCCACTTTTGCGCTGCAACCGACGCCGCGGCTCCAACGTCAGTCAGACTGAGGAGGAGGAGAAGGAGGAAAAGGAGGACGAGGAAGAGGAGGAGGAGGAGGAGGAGGGGGAACAGCAGCAGACCAGCCAGAATCATCAAGGGGAGATACGAGTTTGGAGATACAGTCGGTCCGTATCATAAGGATGAGCAAGGGTCTCGGCGTCGGACACCCATTCCGAAGCTTTTCCAATGAACGCGGCCAAGGATGGACCGCGGACCTGGAGCCTGGAGGCAAGGATGCAACGCGACCTCTGGGAAGGATGCCCATCCTTACTATGCGGGTTGACTGTGCTTGACCGCTTCAACTTGGGCCTTGCGCCCTGCCCTTGAACTTGTACTTGTGCCCCAGGCAACCTGGGCAACACCGATGATCTATCGGGCCCAGCGGGGGGGGGGGCTGAGGGAGGAGGGAGGGGAGTGCCCAAGCTCGGGAGCCCACGAGCGACCTGCGCGGCTCTGTCCTCTGTCACAATCAAAGAAGGAGGAAGAGGAGGCGGAAGGAGGAGGAGGAGGAGGGGGCAGGGGGGAGGAGGAGTAGGGTAGGGAGGAGGAGGAGGTGGAGGAGAGACGAGAGAGGAGGAAGAGGATGGGTGAAGAAGAAAAGGAGGATAAGTGAAGAAGAGAAAGGAGGAGGAGGAGGAGGCGGAGGAGGAGGCGGAGGAGGAGGGCAGACAGGAGGAACTGGCAGAGGTTGCACTGCTACTGCTACCCTTCTTCCTGAGTAGGGGGGGATTGGCATAGGGCGCATCGACCTGGAAACGGCGATACATCGCCGATAGATCGGCGAGAGGCCCCCGATAGCGAGATCGCATATTCCTGGGCGGGGTGGTGCTATCTGGCCCCTATCGGCGATCAATGGGCGATTGGGGATCGATGCGTCCCCCACTAAGCCTATCCCCCCCTATTGTTGCCCCCAGCCTCCTTCCTACTTCCTACTTCCTGCCTCAGCCTGCCTCGGAGTGGAGTCTCCCGGGCCCCGGCAGTCCCGGGGGGTTCACGGTTCACGGCGTCACGTCGGGGACGGGGCGACGGTCGACGGGGCCCTGAGCCCTGAGCGGGGGAGGCCCTCTCGCCTGCGCCTGGCCTCGCCTCACCGCCGCCGCGCGCCGCCGCCGCCGCCGCCTGCCGGGCCGGGCCTGCCGCTGCTGCTGCTGCGGCCCGCCTGCGGGCCGCGGGCGGCTGCCGTGGCCCGCGGCTGGCCTGGGCGCCGCCGCCGCACGCCCCCGGGCCCCTGGGCCGAGCCCGGGCGCGTTTGGGCCGGGCACGGCGGCGGGCGGCGGCGGGGCGGGGCAGGGCCCACAGGGCCAAGGGTCCAGGGAAGGCCGAGGGCCGAGAGTCTGAACAAATGAGGCCGAGAGGCTCGAGAGGCTCGAGAGGCTGAACAAATGAGAGGATGATACAAGAGAAATAGAAGGTAGAACAGGAATGGATATCGTGGGGGCGACAGAGGTTGAATAAGTGAAATGAGTTTAATGAAAAGGTGAATTGGAGGCGAGAAACTCCTAAGGCAAAGGGTGCTGGGGGCACGAATGTACATCGTAGGCGAGAGATGGTGAAGGTCAAAGGAATGGGGCGAAATGGGTGGTATCCAAAAAATTAGTGATGAATGTGAGTTTTATCAGGAGGAGCAGGAGGAGGAGGAGCAGGAGGAGGAGGAGGACAAGGAGGAGGAGGAGGAGGAGGAGGAGGAGGAGCAGGAGGAGGAGGAGGAGGAGGAGGAGGAGGAGGAGCCCATGCCTGGATTAACACGCGCCGCCGGGCTCCCCCGCCCAAGGCGGTTCGCCGCCGGGCCGGCCGCGCAGCAGCCGCGCGGCGCCCCAGCCGTGCAGCACGTTGTAGGAGAGCACCGAGAAGCGCATGGGGGGCGCGCGCGGGGGCCGCCCCGGGCGGGCGCGCGCCCGCGCGAGGCGCGGGCCATGGGCATGGGCAGGAGGAAGGCTGGGGAGGAAGAGGACGGAGGAGGAGGAGGAGGAGGAGGAGGAGGAGGAGGAGGAGGAGCAGGAGCAGGAGGAGCAGGAGGAGGAGGAGGAGCGGCGTCCACCGCCACCACCGAAGTGCCCCGACAGGAGCGCGGCGTGCAACAAAAGAGCAGGCCGCGGAAGGTTCTTGGCCGATTCTTCGGCCCCGGGGGGGGGCCCTCGCCGGGCCGCGCGGGACCGTCAACAAAAGTGGGGACACCGTCCTAGCAAAAATCAGGACGTCGCACGTCGGTGTTGGGAGGGGGAGGGGGTCCTCCTCCTCTTCTTCCTCCTTCTCCTCGTCCACCTCCTCCCCCCCTGCAACTTATATGGTGGTGGTGGTGGTGGTGGTGGTGGTGGTGGTGGTGGTGGTGGTGGTGGTGGTGGCGGCGGTGGTGGTGGTGGTGGTGGTGGTGGTGGTGGTGGTGGTGGTGGTGGTGAGCAGGCCCATCATGGGCTGCGGCCGCCGGGCCCGAGCCCAAGGGGCTCCCCTGAGACCCCCGACGCTGCGGAGGACCTGCAGCGCCCGGGCCTCAGGGAGTAGGGAGGAGCTGGGGGAAGTGGATTTGGAAGCCCGAAATGGACACGGAAAGGAGGGGCACACTGCCCAACAACAAATGTTGCCCCAAACCAACAGCGGCCGCTGTTGGGCGGGCGGCCTCCTGTCTATTCTTTCCGTGCCCATGTCGTTCGTGGCCTCAGGGAGTGGGGAGGAGTTCGGCTACACGCAACAGTGGCCCACTCGTGGATTGAAGCCACTCGTGGATCGAAACAGGAAGACGCCTGAAGCAGACTGGAATCTGGGAATCCAGAAACGCCTACTCTCAACGACCGGTGGGTCGGCTACACGCAAGAGTGACCCTGGGCAAGAGTGCCATTTGGCGCGCGGCTTCTTGGGGGCCGCGGGGAGACCAAAACTGGGCGCGCAAGCCGCTGCTACCGCTTCGTCTTCAGCCATCTGCGGGCCCACCTAGTGCCCGCACCCAAGGGCACTCCGGCCAAAGGTAAAGGTCACTCTTACGTCTCGTCGAGCTGGGTATCGTCGCCTCCGAGGCTTGCAGTCGCCGAGCGGCGCGCACCAAAGGTCACTCCCGCCAAAGGTCACTCTTACCGACCAGCAATAACCGGGGGAGCTGTGGTCCTTACCCCCCTGGGGGAACGCATCGCATCGACGATCCTTCGAGAGGGGTGTCGAAATCGATGGGTCCCCCAGGGGGTAAGGACCACAGCTCCCCCAGTTGTGGCTGGCCTGTCTTACGTCTCGTCGAGGAGCGGGGGGACGCGGAGTGGCGCGGAGTCTTGCGGGAGCAGGGGCTGCGGCCGGCAGGCCGGAGAGCCCCAGGGGGGCTCCAGCGCGAAGCGGCGGTGCGCAGAGGTCCCAGACACGATCGCGGTGCGAGAACATCGGGGCGGGCACTGCTTGGCCATCCTCGGCCTCTGACCCTGACCTTCCAGGAGGGCTAAAAAATAGAACGCGACTTAAAAACCTATCCCAGAGCTATTCGACGTCTTGGTTTTAGGCTGTTTCGTCTCGTTTTTCAGGTTTTTAGGTCCCCAGTGCTAAAAAATCGCTCTCTGGAAGGTCAGGGGAGGGCATCCGCCTGGCCTTGGGGGCACGCCAACAAGAACAACTCGGGATGAGAAGCCGGCCCCGGGGTATGGGCCGGGATTCCCGGGGACCACGCATGAAAAAACAGCCTGACGTCGCATGCCTGGGGAGGTCGTATCGGATGGGGCTAGGACGAGGAGGAGTCCGTTCCCGGGCGTTCCAGAGCGCTCGCAGAGCGTTGCGGAACGCTCTGAGGAGGTCGCGGTGCCCGAGACATTCTCCAGAGCCACCGAATCTCAGAGATTCTCGATGTATCACCCGATGATCCTCGTCCTGGCTCATCCCCACCTTATCATCACCTCCGCCAGGCGTTCCTCCTCTCTCCCCCGTGCATCGCGGCTTAATTCGCATTCGTACGCCCTACCAGTGCTCATCCGCCAGCGCAGTCACTCTGCCTAGCCGCCGACGTAAAAAGTGTGTGTGTGCGTGTGTGTGCGTGTGCGTGTGCGTGTGTATGCGTGTATGTGTGTGTGTGTGGGTGTGTGGGTGTGTGGGTGTGCGTGTGCGTGTGCGTGTGCGTGTACGTGTGCGTGTGCGTTTGCGTGTGCGTGTGCGTGTGCGTGTGCGTGTGCGTGTGCGTGTGCGTGTGCGTGTGCGTGTGCGTGTGCGTGTGCGCGTGCGCGTGCGCGTGCGCGTGCGCGTGCGCGTGCGCGTGCGCGTGCGCGTGTGCGTGTGCGCGAGTGCGCGCGCGCGCGTGCGCGTGCGCGTGCGCGTGCGCGTGCGCGTGCGCGTGCGCGTGCGCGTGCGCGCGTGCGCGCGCGTGCGCGTGCGCGTGCGCGTGCGCGTGCGCGTGCGCGCGCGTGCGTGCGTGCGTGCGTGCGTGCGTGCGTGCGTGCGTGCGTGCGTGCGTGCGTGCGTGCGTGTGTGTGTGGTGCGTGTGTGTGTGTGCGTGTGCGTGTGCGTGCGTGTGCGTGTGCGTGCGTGTGCGTGTGCGTGTGTGTGTGTGTGTGTGCGTGTGCGTGTGCGTGTGCGTGTGCGTGTGCGTGTGCGTGTGCGTGTGCGTGTGCGTGTGTGCGTGTGTGTGTGTGCGGGTGTGTGTGTGTGTGTTCAGAGCAGGAGCGCAGCAGAGCCACAAGGAGGTGCGGAGAGCAGAGAAAATCGAACCGCGCTATTCGGTACCTAGCACAAAAGCATACGGCACTTAGGATACGCACACATAGCGGAAATTGAAAAATTTGGCGAAACTGTCCCGCCGATTTTGGTGACCGGCTGGGTTCCCGGGTTCCCGGTTCCGGGTCCCTGGGTTCCTGGTCCTGGGCCGATTTCGGTGGGTTCCGGGTTTTCCGTGTTCCCGGGTTGCTCGTCGATCTTATCAATCTCTTCATCGACCCCACGATTCATCGAACCATCCACTGATTGGGGTTCTTCTCTGGTGTAATGAATAACTCCTCCCTGTCGCGTCCCCAAGCGTGTCGGTAGGGCGGACCGGGTGTTTCGCCTGCGACGTCCCCACTACCTATCATCCTGAGGATTGAGACTTGCAGTTGCTTCAAGCGTAGAGGGCTGGTGATTTTCAGAATGTGGCTCTCGCCCTGGCGCCGCGCACAATTGTTTTGAGCGCTTGCAGCCGCTTCAATGATGGAAGGCGGTGGGTTTTCAAAATGTGGTTATCACCTTAGCGCCGCGCACAATCGCCCTTCAAGATTGCACCAGCTTGAGGGTGGAGGGCGGATCCTTTTCAAAATGTAGCTCTCCTCTTAGCGGCTTAGCGCCGCGCGCATTCATTTGAAAATCTGCGAACGACTCAAGGATGGAAGGCAGACCGCTTTCAAAATGTGCCTCTCGCATCAGCGCCGCGCACGCTCGGTTTTAACAATTGCGACATATTCCAAGATTGAAGGGGTGCCCTTCTCAAAATGTGGTTCTCGCCTTAGCCCTGAGAATATTCGCCTCCAACGTTGCTACAGTTACAAGCCCCAGGAATTATGTTATTGCACGGCTCAGGATTGAGAGGCTGCAGCAGTCACGTTGGTTCGCGGAGTCGACGTCCCAGGAATGGTTTTCTGGCACGACTTAGGAACGCCAGGTCGCAACCCTCACGTTGATTCGCTGCGATGATGCATCCAGGAATAATGTATTGGCAGGATTGAAGATTCTCAGACGTTGCCTTTCACTCGGGCACTTACCTCAACGAAAAGATGTTCGTGCAGGGGCCAGTCAAGACAGCAATTGGAGGGAGGGCTTCTTGCAGTATCATCGAGGCCGTTCCTCTTCGTGCTGGGGTGGATTGGAGCCTACCATAATCCCCCTCCTCCTCGACCTCCCCCTCCTCCTCCACCCCATCACTCACCTTCCCGTTCCCCTGCCCCCCAGGTCGCCAATCATGGATGTGAATGGCTTTTGCAATAAATCCACCACCGTGCCGTAGACAATGAGTGGAGTGTCCTGAGGTCCCTTCGAGTTCTGTGTATTGCACACTGTACACGCTCAGAGTGGGCTCAAGGTCTGGACTTCTGGGCGCACCTGGGTGTTCTCAGGGCGGCCCGCGCCACTGTTGCCAACGCCTCGGTAGATGGGTTGGGATTCCAGACTTCCAACATGGCCTCAAATTGTCTCAGGGCGAGTCCTAGCCCTTCTTGGCCGCATCGTTAACGGTTGCGGTGGCCATGCGGGCCGACCAAGGGGCCCACAATGTTCAACTTACGCAATCTTTGTATAACTTGGGCGGACTCACCTTCTCGGTCTTCAGAGCGCCAAGGCGGCCCACGAAGCCTCAAGATCGCCTCAAGACGGTCCCGAGGCCTCCAAGGGGGCCCAACAGGCCCTCAAGGGGGGCCCAAAGGGGGAACTCAAGCTGTTACTCCGGCCCCTTTCATTCAATATTTCCTCCGACACGCCAAGGTGCCCCCGAGAGGCTAACTGAGGCCTCCAAGAACCCCCCGCGAAGCAGAGGGATGCTTGGCGTGCCAGGTGCTCGGGTCGACTTTTTGGCACTTACACAATCCCCAAAGGAGTCTCGGCCAGTCCCACCAGCCACCCGGAAAAGGGATCCTGCATCGGCCTTCCCAGCAAAGATGGCCTCAAGATGGCATCCAAGACGGTCCAAGGGGTTTCCAAGCTCGCCAAATATGCCTCCAAGGGAAGCCAAGATGACACCAATGTTGCCCAAGACGGCCCACGAGGCATCCAAGAGGCCCTCCAAGAGGGCCTCCGAGAGGCCCTTCAGGAAGCCCAAATCAGATAATGTCTTATTGTATTTGCCCGTGTGATTGACGTTCTCGTATTTCCGGGCTTCCGACCGCCGAAGCCGGCACCAGGGGCTTCCAAGATAACCCCAAGACGGCCCAAGAAACCTACAAGAGAGCCCCAAGACGGACCAGAGGGCCCCCAAGACGGCAATCAAGCAGCCCCAAGACGGTTTAAGATACCGTCAAAACGGCCCTACAGCGCCACCAGACGCCACCAAAACGATGTCCGACGGGCCAAGACAGCCCTCAGACGACGAATAAGCCAATAACCCCCCAGAGGACTCAAAAGAAGTCCAGAAAAACACTGAAGAGGTCCCCCGGGAGGCCCCCAAGAAGCATGCTCCTGCTCCCCCAGATGTTTCCACGACTACTCCGAGGACACATCGTTCAATTGCTTGACTCCTTGACCAGGCATCTCCTCAACCTGTGGCTACATAGGCGCTTCGAAATGGCAGGGGAAGGTGGTGGTTCGCAGTAAGCGTCTTCAAACACTGTTTGAATGGAATGGTGGGAAAGCTCCTCCAAGAGGTCCATTTCCTGCTCCCCCTCCGTACATACCTCGTCAACTCCTTCATCAGGAAAGGGTGGTGCCTCGATCACCGCATCCGCGCGAATCAGACCACTCCACAGCAACACCACGCAGCACAACAAGGCCACCAGCAAGCTGTATAGACTAAACATCCTGAGAGTCCTTTGGGCGGGGGATACACCAAGGAGGAAAGGGAGAAAGAGAGGAAAAGCGAGAGAGAGAGAGAGACGTACAAAGAAGGAGAGAGACAGAGAGAGAGAACGATAAAGAGAGACAACAGAAAGAACGCGCAAGCGATTATCAAAGAGCAGATGAGCACAACCGGTATAACCAACGAGAGTAGCATGAGGCGACGGATCGCGACAACATGTCCTAAACTTCATTGCCCACGCTGACCAGACGCAACGAAATCGGAACTGTGGCGCAGTAAATTTGAGGAGCGATGCGCGAGATTCACGCTGCGTCGTGGAGCAACTTATCGCAAGCTATGTCATGCACACTGCCAAGATCACCCGATGGCGTGACAAAGACAAAGACGTCACAACCAGGGCCAGCACGACCCGGGACCCCCCTTTGGCTGGCGACCCGATGCCGCAGCAACCAGCCAAAAGGACCCAGAACCCAGTGGGCTGCGACCGGAGGAGCCAGCGGCCGGCGCCGACGGGGCGGTGAGGGCCCAGATGGGCAACAACGATCAGGTCGGGCATGCCCTCCTACAGGCAGACTTCGTAAGAGAAGTCAAAGCAGTCAAGCAAGACTGAGACATTAGGGGGGCCAAGCGACACTTCACACTTGCCGTGCATTTAACCCCTCCATGGGCCTCCCACGGGACCTTAAAACCAACCCACGGCTGCTTGAAACACTACCCACGGGACTTTTTTCCTAGCGTTGCTGCGTGTGTATTAGTAAGACATATGCAGACATGCTAGAGAGATCGTCCCCCGACTATTGCCCGACTACTTTTGCATATTCCTCCTCGTAGAGGGACTTGCCCAACCTAAGAACGACGAGCGGGCTCGCCGCGCATTCCGTCGGCTCCGCGCAAAGAGGCCCCGAGGGATGCTGGGGGGGGGCGTCGGCGGGGCTCCGCCGGGCGGCAGGAGGGCGAGAACTGCGGGAGCGCGCTGGTGGAGCGCGAGAGATTGACTGGCAAGGCGTGTGCTGGAGGGGGGGGGGGTCAGCACAGGCCAGCAGGAGGAGGAAGTCAGGGGCTGAGGGAGGAAGCCAGAGAGAGAGAGAGAGAGAGAGACGAGAAAGAGAGAGAGAGAGAGAGTCAGGGAGAGAGAGAGAGAGAGAGAAAAAAAAAAAAGAGGGATAGAGAGAGAGAGAGGAAGACAAGGAGAGATCCACATAACCTGCCGGTATGTGTGACGCTTTTCCGTTTGAGTCGTCGTCGTCGTCGCCATCGCCGCTCCCCTTCTCCGTTTGTATCGTCGCCGTCGTCGTCGTCGCCGTCGCCACGCTCACCCTTTCCCTGGGTCCTCCTCCTCAAGCGATCCAGCCAGAGGGCGATCGAGCGACATCGCCAACGACTATTTCTGTCTGAGTCGTCGTCGTTCTCGTCGTCGTCGTCGTCGCCGTCGCCCCTCTCCCCCTTTCCCTGGGCCCTCCTCGTTGAGAGATCCAGCCAGATGGAAACCTGGCCAACGTCCTCATCTGGTGGGAGGGAAGCCCCCTCCCTTCGATCCCTTCCTCGCGGGATGGGGGGAGGGGGTCGCCGGGGGGTCCCGGCGGAGGGAGGGGGGGGGTCCCGGTGGGGTTCCCCGGGGGGGCCCTGGGGGACGTGAGCCCCCCCCCTCCCCAAAGAGCCGCAAGAGGGGGAGTACCAACCAACCGGAAAGCCACAAGAGGCGCCCCAGATCCTCCAAGAATTCCCCAGAGCTACCCAAGACGCCACAAAGCAGCTCCACGAGCAACCCCAAGAGAGCCCAAAAGGGTCAATATCATAGATCCTTCAGGTTTTTTGTCAGATTGTTTCGAGTTCTCGCCTTTCGAGCTTCTCACGCTCCGAGGGGCCGAAGAGGCCCCCCAGATCGTTCCCAAACGGCCCAAGTCGTTTCCGAAAGGGTCCCACGACGGCCCAAGGAGGCCCCAAGATGGGCCAAGACGCAGCCAAAGAGAGCCCAAGAGGGATCCAGGAAGGCCCCCACGGCCTCAGACGCTCCAAGACGGCCCAAGGAGGCATCCCGTATCGCCCCAAGACGGCCCACGAGCACTCCAGACGGCTCCAAGGCGGCCCAAGAGGGCCCCAAGACGGCCCAAAAGTGCCCCTAAGCAATCCACAAGGCCACCCAAGAGAGACTAACAGGGCCCACAAGGGCCCCCACGAGGGCTCGCGAGCGTCGTCGCCATAGTCGTCGTCATCGTCGTCGTCGTCGTCGTCGTCGTCGTCGTCGTCGTCGTCGTCCCCGTCGTCATTGTCGTCGTCGTCGCCGTCGTCGTCGTCGTCGTGGTCGACGTCCCAGTCGTCCCCGTCGTCGTCGTCGCCGTCCCACTTCAGGGTCGGCGGCACTGGCGGTAAAGCTTTCGCAATATAATGCAAAGAGAGAGAGAGATATATATATATATATAGAGAGAGAGAGAGAGAACAAGAACGAGAGCGAGTGAAAGATAGAGGATGGAGGGCACGGTGGGACGGAGGGCATGACAGGAGGAGAGCGGGAGGAGGAGAGGGCAAGGGACACCAGGATGAGGAGGAAGGTAAAGAGGGAAAAGAGGAAGGGCGACGAGAGATGACGGACGGGGGGAGAAATGCAGACAGGAAGGGAGGAAGGGAAGGAGGGATGAGGGGCGAGAGAGAAATAGGAGGGAGGTGATGGCTGAGGAGTAGAGGGCACAGAGGGGTGGATGAGGGACGAGATGGTAGCAGCGTCGTCGGCCAGTGGCGTCTGAAATTCTAACTTGGAGCGTCCTGCTGAGCTGGATGTCGCTGGCCTCCTCCGCACTCCGCGGCGCCCTGAAGAACTCCTCCGTCCAGAGCCTGGGAAACACCGCCGCCTCTCACGGGCAGTCGCTGAGGCCCGCGCCACGCACCGCAGACAGGTAGACGCCTTGCTGCACCTTCGATGCACATGCCACAAGAACGCGTACAACCACAACTGCACACGACCAAGACGCATCGCACGGGCACGTCGGCCCCGTGCACCGAGGGCCCATACGTCATGATATATAGTATATAGAGATGCGCTTGGAGCTCGGCGCCCACATCGTCAGCACCCGCTCGACTGGTGCCCACGCGGGCTCTTGTCTCGCAAAGCGCGCGCCTGGAGACCGACCGCTGCGGAAGCAAAGAGCGGACTGTGACCCTGAAGAAGGAACAGACATCGGCACGCCAGGCGCACGGCATGAGAGCCAATCGCCCCTGGTGCGTCGTGGGAAAACCGACGCCTGGAAAGCGTGTGGACACGTGAGGGCACCAGGCAACGCGCACAATGCGGTGAACATTGGCAACTATCGGTCTCATTCAAGACGGGGAAGGTACCGATACCGATACTCCCTTGACCGCTCCTGGGGTGCGTTCTGACTAGAGTTTCGAGCGAATCCAGCGGTGGCGACGAGGGCCGCCCAGGAGGCCCAGAAAAGGAGAGAACGAGGCGAGGGTAGAGGTATGGGTACCACCTTCCTCCTCCGGCAGGAGCCCCAGAATCGCATTCGAAGGCACAGCATGTCTCACCGTTACGCCCCGCCGCCTTCCTCCCCAAGCTTCTGCCGCCCTTCCGCTGGCGGACCGGCGTCGCCACCTCCCCAGCGCCCGGCTCCCTGCCCGGAGGCCAGCGGCACCGCAGGCGAGGCCCCTGCTCCTGGAACCCCCCACCTGCCAGCAGCAAGTGCGCCACGAGATCGATGCTGCGACCTGGTAGCAGCTACCTCAAGTACGGTGGTAGCAGCTACCACCGTACTTGACGACCACGCCCCAGAAACAATTGCGAGCACCCCGAGCAGTACCGAGGCAGTGTCGAACGAGTACTGGCTCCCAGGGCCCGACACGTGAAAACGCTGCAGTTTCGGTACTTTCTTGGTGCTCGAAATTATTTCTGGTGGTCAGGGCTGAAGTAGACTGGAGAATCATAACACAAGACACAAGTTCCGGACGCCGCAGCCATGTTCGCCGGCGCTCCCGGGGAGCCCTGCACTCGCAAACCGCCCCCACGCGCGGACAAGATGGCGAACGGAGACAGACGAGCGCGGACGTGAGGAGGGAGGGAGGATGAGGAGCACGCTCGCTCGCTCTGACCTATCTGGTTGATTCTCCGGATCGTGCGTCTGAAAGTATCACGGGGGGGACGGGGTACAACGTGCTATTGCGCGGTGTCCCTTAGCTCGTAGCTCCTGAGGGAGCACCGCGCACTCACACGAATGACAGATGGCGGAGGAGGAGGTGGAGGAGGAGGAGGTGGAGGAGGAGGAGGAGGAGGTGACCCTCCCGTCCTGGCGTCGTCCATCTCAGCCGCCCTGCCCCGTACATCTGCCTGCCCCGAGTGCTGCTGGCCGCTGTGCCCGATGCCGACAGTTAGGAGGCAACTCCTGGGAGGTCTTCGCACGAGCGGTTATGGGCTACTGGGCCCGCTTAAAGGGCTGTTGAGCCGGGATTGGCCCAGATCAGGCCCTGGATTCAGCGCGGTTAGGATGGCTTTAGCAGGACTCAGCGGAATTAGGTTTAGGTCGGTCATGTACTTCTACAGGCGGGTTTTGGAAGAAAGATGAGAAATATTCCAAACATACTCCCAAATAGCCAAAAAAAATAGTAGCCATACTATGTTTGTTGACTATTTCTGAGTAGTCCCCCTGTAGAGGGACATGCCCGACTTTGCATTAGGCAGAATTAGCCCAGATCCGGCCGGCTTCCGAGCACAGAGGTATCAGCGCCGACGGCCTGCAACACCTCCCCGCAGCTGCATCCGAACGACGGTGGCAGTGGGGCCTGCCCCCCCCCAGTAGAAGAAGAAAAACAAACTATAAACACAAACTGTTGGCGTTGTTTCTTCTCCGACCTACACGTCGTTCATTTCTAGGCGTGCTCATTTCTAATTGCACTCGTTTCTGATTGTCCCTGGCCCCCTAGTGGCCAGGAAGCGGCCCAGGATGGCACAGTTAGAAATGAAAGGAGCTTGGCCCCCCAAAGAAATCAAGGACTGAACAGTGTTCGGCTACACGCAAGGGTGACCCTGGGTAAGAGTGACCTTTAGTGCGCGACTTTTTGGGGGCCGCGGAGGGACCAAACACAGGCGCGCAAGACGCCGCCACCAGCGCATCGGTTTCGGCGATCGGGGAACCCCAGTGTGCCCGCACCAAAGGCCACTCTGGCGAAGGGCCACTCCGATGGCCGTCGGCCCATCCCGCCACCGTGCCCCTGGCGCTCTCTGGGTCAGTCTTTGAGCCCTCTTGGGCCCGAAGAAGCCACGCGCCACCACGCGCCCAGCCCCAGGGGGCAGGCGCCAAGTCCCGGAAGGTTTGGCAACTGGGGCTCCTACGTCTACGTCGAAGTGTGCGGGCCCCCCTCTCAGGGGGACGTAAGACCTGGGTACAGGGGACTCGGAAATCCCCGACGAGTCGTCAAAAAAATGACGAGGCCGATCCTGCATTTTTACGAGGTCTCCCGCTGCACACATCCCACGAAACTCCTCCTCGTCAAAATCCGAGGCGCGGTCGTCAAAAGACGATGGCGAACCCGAGTCCTGGCAAACCCGGGTCTTACGCTCCCCCGACCCTCGCTGGCAACCCCGGGCACATCACGGAGCTGACGGTGAAGAGGCACAGCGGGCCGTTCACGACCTCGGCAGGCCGGCGCGGCGGCTCCGGGTCTGGAGAGGGGCGGGCGGGGCCGAGGAGGGGGACGCCCCTGGCTCGACCGGCCTGCCCGCTTGCTCGGCTCGGCCTGAGGAGGAGGACGAGGAGGAGGAGGAGCAGGAGGAGGAGGAGCAGGAGCAGCAGGAGGAGGAGGAGGAGGAGGAGGAGGAGGAGGAGGAGGTGGTGGTGGTGATGATAATGAGGGCGGAGGAGGAGGAGCAGGAGGAGGAGGAGGAGGAGGAGGAGGAGGTTGGGAAGGGTACATGTGCCACGTGTTTTTTCCCGTACGGGTGCCATCCGTGTTTTTGTCCATGTTCCCCGACCCCCCCCCCACCAGAAATGCAGGGCGAATCGGGGCCTTCGGGTCAGGTTGGGGTGGTCAGGTGGGGTGGTGGACTACCAGAAGGGACGCCAGACAAGGAACGAAGCCACGTCTGGGTCACAGAAAACACCTGGGTGCGCCAGGAGCTACACAAGGCGTTCACGCCGAGAGATCTTGCTACCAGGAGTCTCGGGGCACACTTGTCGTCAAGCTTTGAGCTCCCCGCGGTGCCCAAGCCTTCCGGCCCCCCCCCAGACGTCACTAGGGGATCAGGAGCTTCCGTGGGGCCCCTGCCGGCACGCCGATGTCCTGTTTGAAGCCCCCTACTGTGAGGACCGCTATAGAAAACGAGCGGCACCCCTTCTGTGAGCGTGCGAGGAGCGCCAAAGGGACAGCCAGATGCGGACCGAAGGACTAGCGTACCCAGAACGCCGATGGACGAGCGAAGGGAAGCCGGACGCGGACCAAAGGAACAGAGGACCCGATTTGCTCATTACTTCATCGTCTTAACTGTGCAGCATCTTCGCGTCGTGACGACTCTGGCTTCGGTGCCTGACACCGAGTGGATTATTCAGCCTTCAACGATCGCGGCTGTTCGATAACGCGACGGATCGTTTCATGTCGGCCGGTTCGGGAACACTGGCGCAATTGAGCCTTGCACGCAGGCACTAAGGTCGCCGTGTTGTCTTACCGCGCGCGGGCCACCAGCATGAAGTCGGGCGTGTCCCCCTACAGGGAGATTCTTGGCGAAAAAAATAATCAAACAATACCTCCCAAATTGGCAAACATAGTAAAACAAATCGTCACTCGACTATTTGTGGACGATTTTCGAATATTCCTCCTGTAGCGGGACAGGCCCGACTTAACACCAGTATGATGCCTACAGCTTCGAGCACTGCACCTCGCCGCAACCATGTTGCGCGGTAGCGTGGGGCAGAGAAGCGGCTGCTGGCCGTCGGAGCTCTCGCCACCGCGAGCTGCCTCCCACTGGTGCCAAGACCGCGGGGAGAAAAACACGAGGCGATGCGACAAACCAATTGAGGAGGAGGAGGAGGAGGAGAAGGAGGAGGAAGAGGAGGAGGAGGAGGAGGAGGAGAGAGAGGAGGAGGGGGTGCGGGGGTGACGGACCGCAGGGAGGAAACCACGAGGCGAGGCGATGACAGAGAAGGAGCGAGGCACCACGGCACGCAGCGTCCGAGACAGTGAAGCAGCGGGCAGGGAGCAGGGCCGAATGGGCGGATCAGGGCGAGAGCTGGTGGGCGCGGAGGCCCTCACACTGCGGCGCCCAACAGGGCCCACACGAGCCAAGCCGAGGAGAAGAGGGAACGGAGGAAGCGAAGAATGGCGAAAGGAAGAGGACCGCCGCGAGATGCACAGAGCCAAGAAACCTGGACGTGCGAAACAAATGTGTAGAACGTCGCTGCCTGACAGCTGGACGGGCTGGTGCGGTGGGAGGAGAAAGGAGGATACCGCGGTAGTGGGGCTCCCGTCTCTAACCCCCTCCAGCGAAGAAACATGTACATCCATAGAGTGAGAGAGAGAGGGAGAGATAGAGAGGAAAACAAAGGAGAGAAAAACACACCATAAAGGATACAAACGAGGTAGAAAGACAGATAGAGAGAGAGAGAGAGAAAACACAAGACATTGAGAAGCAGAGAGAGAAGGTAATGATGGGATGGAGGAGACAATGTTCTGCGTCTTCCGTGTATTTTTCGGGAGACAACGATCGAGTTGTGAGGTAGTGGTAGGGAAGGTACAGGGTACGACTGTGTAACAAGCACCTTGAACACATGCAGTACTATAGACGATCTGCTCTCTTCTCCCAGCCACATCGGGCGCGGCCTGACCGACCCCTAGCAAACCATCCCCTTCCGTGACGCCATCCTCGCCTTTCAAGCGTCCCTCCGGTCGCATACATGCGACTCGGGGCGAGGCGAGGGGGGCGTCACGGAAGAGGATGGCTTGCCAGGGGTCGGCCAGGCCGCCCCCAACCCAAGAATCGTCCTTCTGACAGGGACGGCTTCCCGCCACACTGATGGTCCTGGTGCCCGGTGACGGGCCCCAACGGCCAACATTCCAGAGACGCGCCCGCATGGAGCAAAACCGGCAAAGCCGCAATACGCCGGGGAACGGGGCCTGTCGGGTGCGCGCTGACCTGGCTTAGGAAAATCCGTGGATCCAGCGCGTCGGTAAACGTCCTCGGA